TCTGCTTGCAATCTACTGTGTACACACTGAACCTGTGCATGTTTGAGTTCCATATAGAAAATACATGCTCACCACTGACTGTGGGCATTTGTGCACATTTGTGCTGTAAAACCAAAGGAGGGTTAACCCTAACACTCCTCAGTCCTCCAACAGGTGAAGGATTGCGGAGTGTTAGGGTTAATAAACAAAGGTTACCAGCTCAAACTTTGTGCAATTGTCATGCTAACCAAAAGACAGGTGAATACCATTCCTAAACAATATACATCACAAGAAGTTTTGGCTGGTAACCTGATTTGTCAAGCACAGTTTTTTCATGCTAAATCAAATTTTTCACTTAAGTAAGGCTATGAAATTGGCCCCTGGTGATTCGTCTGCCTAATTTTTTCCATCATGATATATACTTGTGATGGAAACAGACAGTCACAGTTACATTTCTTCTCGCATTTATGTCAACAGAAGTTGGTAACGTCAAGTCAAATTTTCTAAAGTCGAGTCTAAAGTCCAAGAAGGTTGGCACTCAAGTCTGGCTGAAGTTTGAGTCAACAATTCAAATGGACACCATCGTCTCTTAGGCACTTCCTCTTCTCAGTTGCTTTTGTGCACAGGGTTGTATATGGTTTCATGCAATAAGGTCAAATGCAACAGGCATGCAAAGTTACTTGAGAATACTCACCACGACGCAGAAGGAAAGGCTCATTTTGATGACCTGCGTAAGGGGGAGTTTCTCCCCCTCCAATGGTTGGGGGATGAGGCTGTTCCGCTGGCCGGCATTGTACGGCATTCTGGACAGCATGGCATCCTGGCCATGAGACTCTGCAAGACAAAACAAGAGAAACAGATGCCAAGTGAACTAACAACTAACACTAGGGTAAATGGATTTCAACCCTATCAAATGACGCGTGTGACGTGTGAGAAACCCACTAGAGACCCGATTTCCGTCAGTCATTGGGAGTACTAAATTAGCGCTCTCCGTAATACCAGGAAGTGGACATTTAGAGGCCTGCACTGCATGGCCAAGGAGGGACCAACCACCTCTGCCATCTGGAAAAGTTATGGACAATCAATTCTCAACTGAATGTGCACAAACATGTTGTGTCGTCATGGAAGCAGAACACAACTGAGCATGTGCAAAAGGGGAAAATGGTGCTACTGGTTCCCGCTCGGCTCCAAACAGGCATATAGTAGAGCACAAAGCCTATAAAGTCATCTTCATCTTTATGTTTTACTGTACTTGCTCATCCAAACAATCTCATCCAAGTGGAAATGTCCAATAAGCCAATTTTTTCCCAGGTCTTATTTTAATTTTGGAAGCCTTTCCTAAGCTTCAAAAGGCATCAACAGCAGCAATCTCCTTGGGTATGCACTGAATAAAATTTTCATGAAAAACATAATAATTATCATAATTTCTTCTTTTCTTTTTTAAATCATTAACTGGAATTCACCACATACCAGACAACTGCCTTACTTCCATCAGGTTACTGAATCTCACACGGCCGATTTTGACAGCTGGAAAGTAACAGGCAACAAACACAGTCATCATATGTAATTAGAGGAGCGTACCACCATAAATCTAACATTGTGCCTTCTGGTGAAATAATGCAATGAAATAATTCAGATCACATTATCAGAAAGAATGTCACCACAAAATCTTGAAATATGTGAAGAGAAAAGCTTCAAACCTGCTTTAAAGTGTACATAAAATTGCTAGAAAAATTTTTTTTCTGCTTTTTTCATTAAATTTATTTTAAAAAATGGGACAGTAGATCCTAGTCACTAGAACTTCACGCAATAACTCAATTTGGTTCCAAGTACGTGTCAGGATGTGCCGCTGATTTAATGCATAATTGCTGCTTGTTTGTAAAGAAGAATCCAGCGATGTTTCACTGGAAATTTGCCCATGGTGCCCTTGAAACAGTGGAAAGCATTGCGTTGGGCAGTGCCTTCTGTCTTGGTGCAGGCCATGGCAAATGACTGGTGATAGCGTTACCATGGTAACCTAACCCATCCACATGGCTTCAAGCCCCGTGTAAATTATTGTCGTTAGGGGAGTTAGAACGAACAGCAAAATTTGAATTAAAATGTGCACGTTCAATACAAAGTTTCATTTTGCTAAAATTTGGCTACTAACGAGAGTCGCACGGCTCACTGATGCTGCTGTGACGGCTGTCTGTGCTTTCCTTGTCACTGTCACTGAATTTAACAGGGACATACAGGGGGTCACTCTGCAAAGAAGAAAAACAACAAATGACACTACATAATCTTTCACTGGTTTCATTTCGCAAATCATTTCTGTTTGCCTTGTCATTTCACTGAAGAAATGAAATTACTGGCTATAGTCACAGCAGCTCGATGCAATTTCTAAATCCATACATGTAATTATGGCACAGTACATTACTCATTGCCTATCAGTGATAAGGTTTTGAATTACATAGAGGTAGCACATCGTGGTGGTGGCTCGTTGATGTGTGGGTAATTCCAGAAATTACGGGTCCTTTTTTTTCTGTGTCCCTGTCACATCTGACATACGATTTTGTAAGTTCAGAACACATTTTCTAATTTCCAAGAGTGACGAATTAATGCAAATTACCTGCCAAACAATTAGAAATAGTTTGAAATCAATTCCGGTGCTATTTCCATGTCAAATAACAAAGGTCAGATGAAACAGGGACACAAAAGTGTCATACTTTTGGACCCCTAATTTCTGGAAATACCCATGTCAATATAGAGATTTCTGCCACCAGTCACCCATTTTCATCAATGTCATTTTGGTGTCCTTTTGTTTCTTTCTTCTTCTTTTTTTTTCAGTCAAATCCTCTGTTTACTTTTACATACATGTGGATGTTTTTATTTTCAGGTAGATTCATTTCATACATCGGGAGGATTTTTAAGGAAAATGAGGAAAAGGAAAATAAGGTCAGATGTTCATTTGTTGCAGACTGGTCTGGTTCCTGTCTGTAATACTAATGATTGGCATAGTGGCAGAAAACAGCAACAAGTCTAAAGTGCATTTAAAACAGAAAATTATAAAGTTTTTTTTTTGGAAAGGCAAAGCAACAAGCAACTGCTTCTCGTTCACACTTACCAACAAAGCTTCTTTTTCCTCTTGTATGTTTTGTACGGTGCTTTGGACATCTGTCGGCTGTTGGCAGCAACAGGGAAAAGACATTTGTCACAATGCACGAGGAGCAACTCATTCAACTGAACACCTAATCGAAAGAAGGGCCCAACTCCAACAAAACCTGTTTTGAGTGCAAAAGAAAAACTGGATATTTTTTGGGAGGAGTTTCGAAGGACATCATTTCAGTCTCCTAGGCTCAAATGGTGGAGTTGGGCCTTTCTTTTAGTAAGGTATTCAATTTTACTTGATAGGGCCGAGAATACATGTGTGTGTCAAGTCACAACTTCTGTTGTACCCCCTATCCAAGAAGACCTGGGTCCTTAAGTTTTATTTCTTGTTCATAACATTTTAAATCTTACTTTTTAGCCTTCTTAGGCAAAAATGATTGTTTGTGCCCAACAGCATAAAAGCAGCATAAATAACAGCCACTTCCACTGACATTCATGTACTTCAAAGATTTACGGCTACCTTCAACGTGGCTAATATGCCATTCATGCAACTGAAATTTTTTTATCTTCTTCAATGTCTGAGTTTGCAGGTGACTAAACATGAGATTGTTAGGCGCATTTTACTTACAAGTGTTGTCTGTTTCCCGATGCAAACTGAACACATCCGTTGCCATGGTTTCCAGAAAATGAAACCCAACAGATACAGCATAAACATGGACGTCTTCAGGTACGTGCTGAAGAACGGCTTGTCATAGCCTTTGTCCTTGAATATGTACTGTGAAAGGAACAGACATATCAGACAGTCAAGATTGGAATTTTCTGCAGTCGATCCCAACTGCCTTAGGCTGCATCTGAATCTGTTGTCTAGAGCTGTAGGTCTAGGTCTTCCCTCCATTGGAAATGTGCGGAGACCCATAGACAATGGACCTAGCCGTAGCTCTCGAAGCCCATTTTGGACATGTGAATTCTCCCTGGATTTCCAACATAAGCAACCTTGTCCCATATCAGCCCTGACCCCCAAGGCTGTTTCTAGCAACAGTGCCTCCTCTATCTTTCAAAATCCTCCAACTGCCCCCATGTACAAATTGGACACCTAGCCTCACTGCTCTAAAATCCACTATCATTCCTTGAATGCATTCCTTGAAGGTGTAAACACTGCCTCAATCCTTCAAAATCCTGTAAGTATAATCTGTGCATACGGCCCAGGTGCAGCCCAAGAACTCACAGCCTTAACCTCTAAAATCCTCCCCAAACCACCTGGAGTACGGAGAACAGAGTGGGTTACAGGCCTTTGCACCAAACCATTCGCTTGCTACCAGCTCCATAAACTTTACACCATTGCATAACACCCACTACTGTAATTTGTTTCAAAAAGTGTGCAACAAGTTTTGACACACTTCATGGAAGTTGTGCAGTCCTCTTAAAACTATTTTAACCTGAACAGCCCTGAATCCTCCAATTTTAATATGATTTTGCACACACCCTAGGGAGTTAGGGTTAACTACTGCATAGCTACATAAATTGTACTGAATTCAACTGTAAGTACACAAAGCAGTTGTGTCACAAATGTACTGCTTAAAGCTTACTGATACCACAAGGTTGGTTACACCAAGTTTCACAAAATCTAGTGACAGGGTATGCAGAGCCGAAGTCAACCAGTAACTGGAAAATGTGTATCTGACTCCAAAGGGATCCTGGGAAGGAGACTTTCACCCTGAGCTGGGAATCCCTACTGGGCGTCTAGGCAGCATGCTAAATGCAACAGAATGCAACACAGCTGAAATGAGAGCCCTGGAAAATGCAACGACCTGCAACCATGGACTTACGCGGCAATACGTAGTGGACTGGACAAATGCCAGCATTGCTAATGTCAAGCAACACAGTGCATTCCGCCACAAAAGTTGATTGCTACAAAAGCAACAATATTAAGCAACTTTCTACCAATGTTGAATCCTGCTGTAACGTTATCACTGTGAAAGGATTTGAAAAAAATGCTGATACATGCTCAGTTTCTGTGCAAACAGGGGAACAAGATTCAGGGCTGTTCTGCCCAAAATTCAGTTTAATAGGAACACAGAGCACCTTTAAATAGCTTTCATGCGCAATATGAAATGAGCAATAGTTGTGTCATATGCAGACAGGAAGTTAGGCTAGGTACCTCCAAATAGAATTGCCATGAACAAGGTCAAAGTATAGGACATGCAGTCATTTGATCATTTTATAAAGGGATAAAACCAAGATAAAAGCTAATCCTGGACAAATCTAGTAAAAACGGGCTGAGTCAATTGGAATAATTCACTATTTGAATATTCAACGTTCAATTTAATCGAACATCCAAATATTTCGTCGTACAACCTGCAGATTGTTGGTGATTAAAACATACACAAAATCAGTTGCAATAACACACACAATTGAACATATGATCAATACAATAGCTTCTCAAATCTAGGAGTATCTCCAGCCAAGATTTGGCAAGATTTAAGAGATGAGCAATGCTTCTTGGCCTGTTAACAATTTCTATACCCATTAAATCTTTAATGAATAATTAACTTTTTGAGTCGCTGTAATTTTGGTAAATGATTTCTGTCACTTTATAAGATTACTACTTTTTTGCACATGTGCAATATAACAAGGAAGCAGATACGAGAAGCGGACAGCAGGCAGATAGTGTTATGGAAGATGTACATGTACGTATCTCATACAACACACTGGTTGTTCAGTTATGAAGCATACATGTAGGTACATGTACACGTCTCAAAGAGCTACCGACATGTATGTGCTAATCCACAGTATATCACTGGACAGGAAGATGACCTCTCCAAGATAAAAAGCCATTGCTGATATTAATGTTATCAATGACATGAGATCAAGGACCATGATAAGTTTGTAAACATCTGTGAAACCTTGAATACTTCAAAGCCTGGTAAGCCAGGCAAGCTTGAGCCATCCATTCAAAGTGGTGGGCAATGTTTGTAAATAAAGAAAAGGTCAATATTGACCGATCCAGGCAAACCAACATTGTCACCTCAGAAAGACCAAGGCTAGGTCCCTGCCACATCAATAAATATGCATGGCAGGTAGCCAGGGAAACACCTTTCGACCATCGCAAGACCAACACAAGACCTCCAGTCTAAATTCAAGTCACAAGATTCTATAACAAACCGCAACAAGGTATTCCTTTGTCAATGATCACCCTGTTAACTGTGACACATTGTAGCAAGTCCAGTCTTGCGATGATCTCGACTGCAGTACTACTGTACATTCTGACCAAAATGGGCCGGGCATGCTCAGCACAGCTTGCGCCAAGCACCCATAAACCTGCGCATGCACGCAGTGAGCTCCCATCAAAAGAGCGTGCTGCTAAACACGCCACCTGTTGTTCCTACACAGAGCAGATATGGGTTGGGTTTGTAGTATTCATGTAGTGGGTTGGTCTTACCCTAGTAAGCTCGGACGAGGCTACCCAGATGGCGTCGACTGTTAGGAGCACCAAGACACCCAGGAAGAGACGTTTTGAATGACTCAGGCCACTGGTGATGCTCATTGTCTCACTGGCACCTGACGAAGCGGTCTATTTCAAAAAGGAGGAAAACAATGAAAGTGCGATTTCCCCCAGTTCGGAGCCCTACATGGTATTACATCTCTCCACAGAGTCCGTGTACATTCAAAATACAAGACATGCAGAATTTTTTCAGAGTAGTCTCATAGCATATTTGCTAGTCCAAGCAGTGATCACACTGAAAGTGTACACCAGACACAGTGGCGCACAGGTATCAGATGTCGGCACGCATGACCTTTTGGTGAATGGTCCGCTGGGTCAGCATGCTATGACGTTGTCTCCAGTTTAAATCGCTACGTGAACAAGATGACTGACTTTGGCTCAATGACAAGGGCATTTCCTATTTGAAGGGGAAATTTCTCTTTTCTTCCCAAATGTGAGTAAACCTCATCATGATTAAGGACCATTTTGGAGGTGAATTCTGAAGTTTTTGATTTGGGGTATGAGTTATTTTGAGTGAAATTAGTTAGTAGGATGGAAAGCTTATGGAAGCTAGGCCTATGGATGATGATCGCCACCCCGAATATGTCCAAATTTTAAAATAGGCAACTTTGAGTCCAAGTTACTCAGACTAACGTGGGGCCCTTTTTACAGGTCTAGCCTAGGTGGCTGCTAGTGCTACTTCGAGAACTCAAAGTCACAGGGAATATGACGGAGTAGTGACTTTTGAGTTCTCGAAATAGGCCTAACTGTGGTCGTTATTGTTAACATATGAACAGCTCAGATCCCTAATTTCGCCACCTACCTAGGCCTATTCATTATTGTCAAGTCTGATTGGTTTTAACAAAGAGCCTGGCGACTAACGCAACGGTCACCAACGTGAGGCCCTAGAATATGTAGGCCTACATGATGACCAATTATGGCATGTCCAGCCTAATGTTGGGCCTGAATTTGGAGTTGGAAGAACTCTGCAATGTCCGGAATTTGGGCAACGAGGCATACTTTGCCAGTTCATGCAGTCAGGCCCCAGCTATAGCTGGCAAGGCCTAACGTTCATCACTGAGTTTGACTGGAACTTGCATTTCTATTATTTGTTTGTACTCACAGTAAACAGCCTGGCTCTCTTTTGTACTCTGTAAGGCCAAAACACAAGTTCAAGTGATTATCTTGTAACGGTTGTCATTGTTGTGTCAAAAAGCACAAAACTGATTTGTCTCCAAACGTGTACACCGTTCCTACAGCTTCTTATCCACGCCCACGTCATTAATGCTGTTGGGCTAATGCGTGCGCAACTTGCGCGCGTGATTCATGCAATGCAAGTAGCGATGTTTAGACTTCGGCTAGTCGTTTGTTATGCAGACGCGCTGCAATGACTAAGTCCACTCTAGGCCTTTCCTCCAGTCTCCGCGGCTTCCCTAGCCCTCCAAGCTGGCCACAAGCGCCATGAAGCATGTATTTAAAAAAAATGAAGCATAGATTTTTTTAAGTTTATTTTTATTAAGCATGTTTGTTGGTTCGAGATATAAATTTCCAGTTCATTCTTATTTGATCTATTTTTAGAAACACTGTTTCTATTTTGGAAACAATTAACTTTTTAAAAGACATACTTTCAAGTTCGATTGACTAAAATTCAACTTTCTGAACATGAACATGTGTATTTCATGACACTAGTGGGTTGTTTTGAACGAACTAAAGATGCAGTAAGCCTTCGCAAGCGCGGGGGATCCAGGGGGGGTAAATAAAGAAGACAAAAAGGGAGAGAGAGGGGTCATTTGAATCAAAAAATGAGGTACTAGTCGCGCTACGCACTCGCGGGCATTTTACTATTGCTGCTTTAGTTCACAACCCCCCCCCGTTGGAAAATCGTGGATCCGCCCCTGCTCCGGCAATTGGGTTGTAAAATGGCACGGGATTTACTGACACTATTTGTTACATGATTTCTATCACGCTAATACGTGTTTATTATCACTACATCATTCCGTGCGGCATAATCACAATCCATGAAGAAGGCTATTGGCGTTTTTAGGCTACTTCTGGGCAAGAAAACCCGAAAATAGCATGATATTTAAATGAAGATTTTTAGAGCATGAAGTCAGTACAAATGAAGTTCAACCTCAACGTACAACAGAATCGATGTCCTTATCAGTAAGATCAAACCTTTGATTTATTTTGAAAGTTGTGGCCAACAATTGCTCATGGGACCACCAGCTGCATCACCGCGGAAGGTGAACATCCCCCCCCCCCCATAAAAAATCACCCCCTCAGTCAACCCCACCCATCCATAACTGTGACAATGCTGGGACTTGCCCCCCCCCCAACATCCAGCTCCCCCACTCTCCCCCTACAGTCAACCCCTGGCTATACGCCGCGCTGTGGACCACATCTATGAAAAATGATAGTGTCTCGCCTTCGTAAAATGCATAATACATGTAAAATGTCTCACCCATGAATTTTTTGGTCTTCATATGGAAGTCTGGTTCGTACTCACTTCAACAGTGCATGACGGACATAGGCTTTATAATTTTTAAGAGAAACAAAATACGCCTTAAATTACAGAGAATGTTGTAAACAACATGAGTCGAGTGAGTATGGTAAGACAATAAATGTGCAGTATTTTATATCTCAAAAGATAAAAACTTAATACGGTACACCGATTATAAATAAACTTAATTATGCAAATTTGATTATATATATAGGTTTATAAAGTACATGTACAAATATGTTCAGAGATCACAAGTGTTCAACTTTTTTGATACAGTTCGCATAAAGGTTGTCGCTGTAAACAGATTGACATGAAAATTGTATAAGGATTAACTGCTCAGAAATGGTTAACGACACTACGACAAGTGCCTCCAATTGCCTACGACTTGACTATAAGCAACTGTCTGTGCGCCCTTTGAGAGGACTTATGATTACTATACCCGCCCTTGTTGCTCAAGCCCTTTGGCAGTTGAAACGTAGGTGTTACAACAAAGAACGTTTAGTGTCATAAAGAGTTTAAATATCAAATATAATGTATTTCTCCATAAACCTTCACCATTGCAAAGATAATTATTCTGTGTGCTGTAAATGTAACTCACCCAAAAGGCTACATCATTACATTACGGAGAACTAAAACCAAAACAAAAATTACGGAAGCGTCATACCCCGAAAAAGGAAGAATGTTTATCTTGGTCTTTCTATAATTACACTGTAACCGACATGAATGAATTAATTCAAACAGAATGTTATATTAATTAGAATTTATTTTAATGGTAAATTATCAACCGCATGCTTTGCCTTTGACAGGATGATGTATTTAAATCAGGTAATTATAACTCAAGTTTAAATTATACAATATAAGCATAGTGTTCAACAAAGCATGTCCTTACATCTGAAAAAAATGGCAACACAAGCAAGAATGGCAATGAAAAATGGAAAATTCTGGAATGGAATTAAACATCAATATCTCCTGCATCAGTCCAACTTCGCACCATTGTTTCCGACGGTGTCCCACCTCGACCCCTTGTTTCGGAGTTCCAAAGGTTTCAACGAATAAGTTTTATAAGTTATAGGCTTTGTTAGTGCCCAATACTTCGGTGCCGTAACCTAGGGGCCCATGGCTGAAGAAGTGCAATCGGTGGAGAATTTAACAACAATGTGAATACACTGACAACAGCATCCACGGGATTATGAGCGCAAAATCTGGACAATGAACAGATGAACTGTTTCCAGTTAATTATACAGTCTTAACAGTTAACAGTATATCGTTAGAAACCGACTTTGTGAAGTGGGATCAAAACAGAAGGTAATTTTTGTCGTGGGCCATTGGTCCTCCGCTTACCCCGCCAGCGTCTGTCGACAAATTTGTTATGTTGATCTGACGATGCCGGTACCGTTCTGTGGGGTGGGGGGCGTTTACGTGCTTGGGCTAGGCAGATATCTTTTCCAGGGCCGATGACACAGTATTGAGCTGACCTTTCATCTCCCTTACCGTGTCCCGCACATTCTCCACACGATCCAGAGTTATGATTTTCTTGGTGTATGGATCGTAGCGGACATCAAATGGTTTCTTCATGGTGTTAGTGTAAGATCTGTAACGGAAAAGGAAATTTTGTGGTGAAATTTCTTAAGTTTACTTTGAAATTAAGAAAAAAAATCATCATCCACGATAAACACACACGCATAGAAAATTACATATATGTACCAACGAAAAGGAGTAAAGTTCTTGGTTTAAAGTATTATACAAAATTCCAACTTTGTTATGAAGCATTTTCATCTAAAGTTGGTTATCCTTATTTGCTGCGTTTTATCCCAAAGTAAACTTATTAAGTCGGATGTGCGCATGCGTTCTTAGAGTCCGAACAGCATGACTCGCTATGACTGGCATACCGAAGTTTCTGTTTGGCATCTTCGATGCTCTCTGTAACAAAGAAGACGGGCTGGTAATTCTTCTCATCGAACGATGTCATGGACACCCTTAACGCCTCAAAGGGTACTCGCTCCGGTTTGTCCGAAAGGGCGAACTGCAGGAGAGAAACAAAACCAACAGGCTCACACTGAGAGAGTTTTTGGGCAGAAGCCTCTGAACCAGTTCATACTCCTGTCATCTCCGAGATAGTTTTTAAGCCAACCATGACCAGTTGCTACCGTCCGGTAAACTTACCATGGTCTCCCCCGGTGAAGAAAGCACGGCAGCACCATAGACGCGGACCTGCCCTTCCTCCTTGCACAAACCGACCTCTACGGTGTACCAGTACAGCTGTGAAAGAAGGAACCTCAAGTCAGTATGACAAATTCCATCCAGCTCAAATTGCAAAACAGTCCTTGCTCGATGGCACATCTAAAAAAACAACAACTTGTTCCAGAGCAGCCCTGGACCCTCCATACTAACACAATTTAAACGCCTGAGAGAACATGCGTTTGGCACTGTGTGCCAAAACTGACAAATAATATTTGCACATTAGTTTCGTCTAAGACCATTCATTCTTGAGATGTCCTTCAGCGATGGTACCAACAACTGATACCTTTAGCCATCAAGTTTCCGCGATAGTTTATGTATCTACTAACTATTGAGATTTGGATCAATAAAACCTTTAACTAAAAATTCAGTCTTAAAATGATATGTTCAATATCGTGCTCACCCTTGCAAGTTTGACGATGTCTTCGTCTGACGCACCCAGAGATGCCATTCCCAACTCCTACAAAACAAATAGAAAATGATCTCAACTTTAGCTTTTGGCTATAAAATATTCATGAAGGTTGGCAACGAAATCTTCTGCAGGCCACATCACTTCACGAGCTGTTCTTAACGCCAATATAGACATCAAATGACGGTGGCCTTGCATATCATTACTGCCTATATGGCCACTCCTTTTCAACGCGAAAGAAGTCTTTTGAATCAACAAGCCCGTTTCCTCGTTATATATTATTCACTGGAAAAAGAAGGACTATGGAAGAAATGGAAATACCATGGGGATCAGATTGTCGTGTGTTTTACAAGCACAAATTTAAAAAATGTCAACAGACGCCGCAACGACGTTTAACCTTACCTGAGAGAACTGGGCGAATTCTGGGCTAGCCAGCATAGGTACATGCCCAAGCAGTTCATGACAGCAGTCGCTATTAATGATGTAATTAAAAAGGGAAAACATAATCTGCTGTAATCATTGAAAGATCAGTTTTTGACCAATGATTTCTAAACTTCTAGAAACATAACCGAGAACACAGAGGGCAGATTTAGGCCGCAACTGGAATTCTAAAACGGAGTTACCTTTGTTGTGTATTCTTGGCGAAAGCATCTCATAATTAGAGGTATGCGTTGTGAAGTATAATGCTAATTTAGTTGGAATTTGTTACAAATTATTTTATTAGTGGTTAGCATAACCGTTGTGGTGAAGTTATGAGGATATGCATAGTTGTGTGTGTGTTTTTACAATATCTGAAGGTGTCCATCACCACTTCGCTGCTTTTCTCGACCAGAATGTCTGAGTCTAGCAGCCACCCGCAGCCATCTGAATCATATCCATTATCCTTTGTGATCAGCCATCTCTGATGTTTGGTACTTAGGTTATGTATTGCAACAAAGGGAGCAGCCGCATATGTGGACAATCATGTTTAGTTTTGACACAGCGTAATTCCGAAGATGGCTGCTCTGGGGGCATTTCATGCTAAGATTGAATGCTTACGGTTCGGGGGTGTGCGCAGGGGATGAATGATGACGTATATACTGCGTAGTCTGAAAGGTGCGGAACGCCAGGCTTGCCAGGAAGTCACGAGCTGTCAATAGACCGGCAACCGGACGGAGCTGGAAACCAGACTTCTCTGTGAAAGAGAAATATATTGATGGTGATTTTTACTAATGTTGTGCTAAGTTAATCTTTCTTGGTGAGTTTGTTCATACCTCCCATGCAGGTGGAGATTTCAATCCGTATTCCAGGACTTTTGTTTTGCACTTTTGACTACTGCAGTTATGGAATTAAAGCCATTGTTCTATTCCAACAGCAGTAAACGAAAGTCGGCAAACATTTCTATTTGCGAATATACCTAGAATGAGCAAGGGGGATTTCCTCTAGCAGAGTCACCTAACTTTTGAAGTTGAATTCAGGAAGGAATGAAGGGAAGCAGTAAATACCTTTCAGAAAATTGGAGACATCTTCAAGTTGCGGAACAAAATCGGGACTGAAAAAGGACGAAATGAGTACAGATTTAACATAAAGTTGAATACACACGATGATTTGCTTTTACAAAAAGGACAGTACTATATAAGGCTAAGGCGACAGCCATGAAATACCAATCGTCCTATCAATTATGTCATAGGCCTACATTTGAAACATCAGATGTGAATTATATTCAATACAACCGCGAAATATCGCATCTCAGATAGCTATGTTTTAAAGGTTTTGCTTAGGTTGCCCCTCTTAATGCTCACCTGTACAGTCCAATATCTTCAAGAGTTTTCAACCCTGCGATGCACTCTTTACTCGCGTGAGTCGGAAACAGCTTGGTGACTTTGCGGTACACGTCGCCCCTGTACAACGTTCGATTGCAACCAAAAGAATGATGATATGCTGGATTCAACCTTTTACATTTCTGAGAGACGGTGAGACCTCTGAGGTTTGCTGTCGTTGTGCTAGTTCCAGGACGTGAAATCTAAGCTGCAAACTGTTGTACATTTAAGTAATGCTTCCAATCTTACAAGTGAAAGTTTAATTGAACCTGGATTGTTGTAATTTTCTGACGTCGAATCTCGTTACCACGGTTACATGTGAATAGTCCCTCCGAAAATTTATATCAGCTGACCGCCAAATCTTCTTCCCTGCACTTACCATGTTTTGGTATCCTCGTCGGAGTAATTCACCCTGGGGATGGGCTGGCCACTGTGGATACAAATGAAACAGGGGGACACATAGTTCAACTCTCGGAACTCTACTAAGGAAAGAAAAATGGAAGTCTGAAGGTTGTGTAAAAATCACTTGCAGCTCACGTGCGTGTAAAAATCTTGCGAATCCTGTTACAATGGGACTGTTTGCTAATTACAAAACACTCGGGAAAGTTAAAAATTCTTGCGTGTCCGATGATGACTTCTTTTGGTGCATGTACAAGCGTTCAGTTTCTTTAATGGCTTATAATACCCCACACGATCATGTTGAACTGTTATTTTCCCCCCGGAATCTTTCAAGCAGTTGATGAATAAAGCGATAACTTACTACTTATATTTGAAGGCAATTTGGGCAATTTCCATCCTCCGTGCACAATACTCTTCGTCCAAATGACCCTGAAATATACATTTAGAGATTAGTATTTATAAGACATTTTTGTATGGCATAACAGCTTCACTTAATTATGAATCAGAATCACAAGTCAAAGGGAGGTGGCCATTTACATGATATTAATTAACTATTAACTACTTATCGAATAAACCTCTGTGTTTGTAAAGATTTTCCATACTGTACGACTCTAGGAAGTGCGACCTTTGTTCTCCCAATTGACTACTGAAGAAGAAAACCATATCATGCCAACCATGCTTGGCAAAATCAGCCCGTTTGACGTACCAAGGACGGATCCAGAACCAATTCTTTTGGGGGGGCGAGGCAAACGTGGGCCAAATTGGATTTTTTCCCCGTTGCGTTTAAAGTGGGGGGGAGTGCTTTTTGGGAGGCATGGCCCCTATAGGCCCCTGTATCAGCCTTTATGACGTAGCCAAAGAGACGCCTATAAAGGCGCTTCCTGTTACGAACAAATATTCCTTCTAAGTTCACCGTTCTGCTTAATAATCGTGTATATTATTGCCAACAACAACGTGCTAATGCAAAACCTGAAGTCTACAGTGTGGCTCCTTACCGGGTGGTCGAGATCAACATCTGGCGTAAATCCAGGTATCAGGTGTTTACATAAATCAAGATCGGAAATGTGACGAGGGAACCAAATTTCTGAAAAGAGACCACATTACCCTCATCAGCATTACTATATCAGCATCCTGCACGTTTTCTTAAAATGCGCGATATAAACAGGGTCTGTTTCAAGAAGGGAAGACACTGTCAGTGGTGATTGGGCCTGAGTTCCATTGACACATAAAGTTCGACCCCAATGGACATACACTATAATGCTGCTGTGGACAAGGCGAAAATGTATGAAAGAATGTATAATGCCGTAGGTCGTCTCATTCAGAATGAACCGACCGCAGCCCATGTTTTCTGCGATTACTTTGCCACAGGATGGCATTGAAAATTAGATGAACTTATTGGGGCTAATATAGATTAATCGACAACTACATGTAGTTATAGACATTAACTACTCTGACGTCTCTATTCTGTTCTTGCATTTAACGACTGTTAGTGTTTCGGGCAAACGCAAAGGGTGCAAAATATATTAGCAATTCCTGAGAGACATGGAATTGGGGAATTGAAGAAATGTGACATTGAACCTCTGGCCTGGACGGCTGTCTCATAGCTGAGAATTTAGGAGAGGGTAGCTTTTTCTTTGATACATTTTCACTCCAACATCTAGTTCTTTGAAATAAAACTTGCATTGCGAATTTGTGTGTGCATGGTACAGTGCAGAAATAATATAACCAAAAATACAATGTGGGGCCGTTACCTTCTTTCTCTGAGCCGTCCTCCTCGTGCAGAACAACTGAATCGACACAGTTCTGCAAGGAAGCGATTAGGTTCTTCGGACAGGCACCGTTGGATAAGTCACATTGAACGAGGAACTCCTGTCCGCCCTTTTCTCCTCCTACCGTTCGTGATTCCATGTGAGAAAGTTTTACTTTTGCAGCCTACAAAGAAATATATGTAAACCAAAAACTCGATTCTCTACGCTCTTTTTGCAGTTTGTACTTTGAAGTCATCTCTACCGACGCAAGCCATGGACGGTTCCATCTGTACTTTAATTTTAGGTGAAGTACATAATGAAATGTCAATCAACAAAAAAAAATCCATTTTTTTCAGTTACATTACTGGCATTGTGGGATCTCGAATAAAGTCTACAAACCTCGAATGCATTGGCGGCTCTGATCAGCGAGGCAAATTCGTCACCTTTCCGGGAGGTGAAGGAGATCGACAGACGACCTTGATTGATACCGTTCATAGGTGTTTTTGCACCCATGTTCGCCTTGTTGATCATGTCGGCATATGTAGGTGGACTTGGAGCCTCGCGTTCCTTCAGGGGAACAAAGCAAATGGCCTTAATTCATAATAAAGTCGGCTCTTTCTACGTCACCGACGCAATTTTGCTTGCACGTGGCTACGAAAACTATGGCTGCTTCGTCAGCATAAAAACAGCAATTCAATTAAAATTACTACAAAATTTAATGTAAATTTCGAGGCAAAATCATTCAAAAGTATTGATGATAATTTTTATGTATCTTGAATGATTGCTGTGATTAAGAAAAGTATTGAATAAATAAGTTTCTGTCGTTACTGCTGCATCTTCAGCACGGAGGACCTCGTCGTTATCAAAACGGAAGCTCCAGTCTGTTGGAAACTGTTTTTCTCTAGATCTGGCCCTACAGCTTTGGACAATAAACGACGTCTACTTAGAAGAATTTTATGTTGGCTCGATCTCGTGATCTTTCTGTCGATCCTACATGAAATTTACAACTTTACTTCCCTTTTGGTGAACGGTCTTTCATTACTGTAAATAAGAAAGGACGATCTGCTGATGGACGGAATTACCGACAGACCGTGCAATAAATCGACTAATCATGTAAAGATAAAGTGATCGCCCACATCGACCGATTGCGGTCATTAATGCACATGCATCACTTACCCCGTTAGACTTTGTGGGAAGTTCATTTGCCATTGATGGCATCATGTCGCAGCGTACGGTACTTTCGTCCGATGAAACAGGTAACTTATAACACCATGGAAGTCTTAGTAATTATCCGCTTTCCCAGAGGCGGGCACTGGCTTTTGAGGGAAAGTTGAGGGCTTTTAATGGAACGGTAACAGCACCGGCTGGCGGATTTGTCGGCGTCTGCACGTGACTCCCACGTGATACCAGCACTTTCAAGGATGATTTGACAAGAGGTTGAGGTTCTGCTAACATCTGGGCATTTATGGAAGAGTTGGCGACTTATCTTTAACAGCCTGAAAAAATGATCGCTTTAATGACTGTACAGGCAGCTGTAAACATCTGGACTTCCACTTGAACTACAGTGGCCCATAATGGAAAAGTATAAAGAGTAAGAATGTGGATGCTTGAATTTATTCGGTGTGGCGGTCTCAGCTGTCTCCCAGTCTCAGCGGTCCCCCTTACCAAATACGGTAAAAATACGTCATGCCATCTCTGCGCACAACAACGGGAAAGTCGTCATTTTAATGTCTGGCTATTCAGGGTGGACTGCTGAGACCGGGAGACAGCTGATACCGCCACACCGGTTTTGAAAGTCGTTTTAGCTGGTATAACGCTAACTAACCGGGGGCGGCATCCACCTTCAACATTTTCCCCAATATTGTTTAAGTGCAATTTTTTTTCCACGAGCCAAGCAATTTTTGAGTAACCTCTTGCTGTCTTTTGGACATCAATTCTGTGGAAACTGGACGTGGTGTTCTCGCGCAACGCGCATTTCCGAGACAAATCAGGGAAACTTCACACTTTTGACGAATTTAGGTCTTTAACGTATTTTTGTTATGCATGATGAAATCTTTATTTTCTGAACTTAAAGATGCTCTGAAAAGCTAATTAAATTAATTTGGGTAAATTAAAATGTTGACCTTCCTCTCCGAAATTATTAGTTCACGGACTGATTCATTGAGATAGGTCACTTCGTGAAACGTATTGACAACGCTGTTTTATTTCCACGAAGTGACTAAGTCTGGTATCTGGACCGCGATACCTATCGATGTCATTTGAAGTTCAGTCATTCGCAACCAGTCTTTAGCGCTGTTTCGTGTCATTCAGTGACTGAACGTTCTGTCTCTGTAAATGACCAAACATAAGTGTACTCCATGTTTTTGTTTATGCTGATATTCAAATAAAATCGAGATGGGCATTGGTGTGTGCGATGACACGAGATCCCAAGATAGGCGTAAAAGTATGTCTGACATTTTTTTTACCCGAAGCACTACTACTGTTTGTTTGTCTGCATTTCCCCTCGGATCTTTTTTCTGCACTGCAATGAATTAGGAGCTGTTCTCCAGCTGTTACTATATTCATGTTTAGTCTATAGTCATTTAAATGTCATTTAAAAGTCACCGATGTCCTCTAAACAATTATAAAACAACTCTGGCATTAAGTCTACTTCCTTTAATTGTGTCATTTAAAATTCACTGATGTCCATTAAAATGATTATGAAACGACTCTGACATTTGGTATACCTCCTTTACTAATGTCATATAAAAGTCGCCGATGTCCTTTAAAATACGAAATCTGTGTCAATAAAAGTTAGTATTGTGGGGGAAATGAAAGATTCAAAATGGACCCAACTAATTCAAACGCGTTTTTTCGAAATGTCAGAAACTGAACCATTTTTAAGGGCAAAATTTCCTGGGAGGTTAAGAAATCATCAGTTAAAGACTGATGAACATTTAACAAGTGAACTAGAAGGTAAATTCTGAGGTTTTTCATGCAAACTGGTGATTGGTCCGCTTTCATCTCCGTTTCTCATTTCTTGGGCTTTTTTCCTTTCCCCCTTTTTTGGTTTTCATTTCTCGAAGTGTGACATTCTTTTTTCCCTGTTACAGCTAACCAATAGAGATATACCCGTGAAATGACATCGAACTATTTTTATATGTTTGGTAGGTAATTAGCATTACTGAATTAACCACTCTTGGAAATTAAAGAAAGTGTTCTAAACGAACAAAATAATATGCCAAATATAACTGGGATGGGAAAAATGGAGCCCAAAATTATAGAATGACCAATGTACAAAATGATGTATCTATACATAACTTGATCTCGCACGCTGCATCCAGCAAACAACATTGCAACGGCAACTTTCTAACTTCATTTATGAGGATAGATTTAAAGTCATTTTAGGAACACCTGAAAATAACAATTCTTTTTGAAATGATTTAAAAATAGTAATTCAGTTTATGGTATTTGTAAGCTTCTTCAGCTTCAAACATTACACGCTCCTACAAAATAAATTAGGTCTTATCGAGATTTTCATATAAATAAATACTAAATCGTGTAAAGTCTCCATTGTGTCCAAATTTGGCATAAAAGCTGCGTCATGGGACAAGTGACGAACACAAGGATATAAGGCAGCCTAGCTGCTGTCTCAGGGGAATAATTCTCAGGGAGAATAAGACTGAACTCGGAGAATCGGTGAATTTGGGTCAACGTCGGTATGTACGTGTACACAAGAGTGCCAAAGTGGATTATTGTGAACGGTAAGACACTGAATCGCGTACAGGTGATTGGAGTATTCATTAATTAAGTGCACGCACTTATACGAATCGGAGTAGGCCTAATGTGGGCCGTGATCCATTACATATACATGTATAGTGTACAGTACGTGGGTGGGTTGCCCAGTGCGCGCGTGTGATCTCACCTCACGCCCAGCTTGCTGGAAGTTCGCCACAATATTTTCGACCTGCAAAAGGAGTCGTGAATTTTGGACGTGAATATTGACGTCACATTGACGATTGGCTATGTCCTTTCAGAGCCACCATAATTTACAGGCGGGTACTCTTACTTCAGCACTACCTTCCCTTGCCATGGTAACAATATGTTTGAATACCCTCAATATTACCCAAACCCATTAAGGACCCATTTTACTATCGGAAATGACCAAGTGAGTTAAACCCTGTTACCATTAAAACAATTAAAGGATTAGTAAATGAGAATAATTTTAGCCACAATTTATTTCAAAAAGCTTTAGATGTAAGCCTGTTGAGGTTAAATAACCACTTGAGTTCCATCAGTGGACGCCGTTCATCCGGGTCAAACAATACTGCTTTTTTTTAGTGGCAAGCAGTATGCTAACAGCTTTACTAATACTATCATCTTATTTCTAACCGAGGATTTCTGACCGAGTTACATCGTGCAACGTCTGTCTAGCAGTATAGGCACACAGACCCAGGACTGAGGGAGCGAGGTTAAACCATCCGCACTACCGCCCAACTGCTTCGGGGTGCTTTCTATGATCGCAGATGTTGTGGAAAGATTCCCTTTTCTTTAAAACTCTGCTCTCTCTAAACTTCTTTTTACACCTTTCACTTACAAATTGCCTCTTTCATCAAGGCCAGACACTATGGCATACAAGAAGAAACGGCCCCGGAATTAATCATTGTGGTATAAAAACTGGGTATCAAAGGCAATAAAACCGCCGACCTTGCCATGGCAGCAAGACTACTTCAATATACGGAGAAAAATTCATTCTGGAGATAAAGCAAACAACTTCGATCAATGCAAACTACACCTCTATTGGAGATCGATGGTCCGTGAAGTGGTGCCGAGGCCTACTTCACTGATCATCCGCCAGTAAACAATTCACCTTGCCATCATTTTGTAGTAGAAGAGCGAACACAATAAGGATTTTCCTTCCTGAGCTATAATTGGGTGCACGATGAACGTGCTTTATTTTAAAGAGCACTTTCTTGGAAGCTAGGCAGGGACCAGGAGGCCAAAAACCAAAAGATGCCGCAATATTTTGATTACGCACATCAAAGGAGAACATATATACAGTGTACACACACTCAAGTATATGGGTACACATTCTTCGGTTCTTGGCTTGTCCTCAGATCT